AAGCTTTAAATTTCGCAAAATATGTGGCGGAAGGTGTTCTCATGGGGATGAAGGAAAAAAAAATCAACATTTTCTGCTAGAGGGAAAACAAGCCTTAAATCTTTGACAGATGTCACCTCTTTATCCCGCTGTGCCGGGGATCAAAACGCAGGACCTTGTACTTGCCAGGCAGGCATGGTGCCACTAAGCTAAATCCCGGCCCTATGGCAATGTATTTACATGGACTAAAAACATTTTACTGATAAGCAGTAACTGTTCCCTGAATCACAACCCTATAGAAAATCGAAAATTTTCGAGGGGTAGCTAACTGCCTTAACATGTACAACTTCAGTGCTAAGTAGTTGGCTTTCTTTGTGTATCTCTTCATGACCTCTTCAACCCAATACTCTGCTCAGCTGCTACTGAACTCCTAACAAGTGGAGAACAAGAAAGCAAACTGAGGTGTAGCCACAGGGTGCTCCAACAAATCACATAAACTTGCCTGTTAGCAATATTACAAACTGCTGCTACATGTGGAGTTTGGGGTTGGTCCTGAATAACTGGAACCACAAATATAATTTAGCGATTGCTTCAGTTCTTCTGCATAATTTTGGATTGGATACAGTCAAGGAATATATGTTTAGATCTAACATTGTTGATTTAATGGACACACAGGAACGCTCAGCTAACGATGGTAGGAAAATGCATCTTTCTCCCCAGAGTATCAGAATGGTTATGCATGTCTAGATTTGTGCTTTTCTAAATCCCTGTGTCCTGCTCCTTCATATCTACTCCCAAGCCTACCATGCTGAAGTCTTGGTAGCCCCACAGCAGGCTATGATAATATCCAGCAAGTGTGGCTAAGGATGCTGCAGGTAAAATGGGATAAAAGGAAGGGACATTCATATCTAGTGGTCGAAGGTCACATGTGGGTGAAGTAAAGTTTTAGCTCCTCAAAAGCCTTATTCTGGCATCATTTGTATATCAGAGCTCCTGACAGGTCTGAAAAGGAAAAGGCATGACTGTTCTCCAACTTTTCCAGGAGACCTTCTGTGTCTCACAACACTATCTGTAATGCTCTGAAACTGGTGAACCAAGTCTCTGGCTGCTGTCTGTGCTAGGTGGAAAGGCCAAGTGTAAAGCTACACAAATAACTTCCCAAGGAGCGGCTCCACTGGAAAATATTTGGGTGCGGTACAGGTGCCACACTATCTATGTCCTCAGTGGGTATCATCTTCCCGCAGTCAACTAAAAACCATGGGAATGAGGACTTATATTTTTTAATTGAAAAAAAATCTCAAAAGATTTGTGTCTGATGAAGATCTAAAAGCAAAGGGAGGGGCCGGGGATTTAGCTCAGTGCTTCCATGCCTGCCTCCCAAGTGCAAGGACCCAAGTTCGATAACCAGTACCAAAAAATTAAAAGCAAAGGGAGGGGAGGCATACCACAGATGGATAAATGCATAGTTCAAAATGTAATCCTGAACTCCTGGGCTCAAGCAGTCTCTTGCCTCAGCCTCCCTACTAGCTGGAACTAGGCACAAACTATGGTGCTGGGCTCCAAAATACAGTATTTTTTTTCAGTGCGAGGAATCACCCAGGAACTCATGCATGCTAGGCAAAGGCTCTGTCACTGAGCTACATTCCTAGCACTCAAGTATAATCTCATTAGAACATTACAGAATTAGACATAATTTTCTTTTTCTTTCTTTTTTTGGTACCGGGGATCAAACTTGAGTCCTCGTGCTTGCAAGGAAGTGGTGGAACCACTGAGCTAAATCCCCAGCCCGATATAATTTTCTTTACCAAATGTGAGTGCTTTGCTCCACTCTGTTTCAAGGTTGTGTAAGAATTTTCCTTGCATTTATCCTTAAGCTTATTAAAATAAACTCTGTGACCTTAAAACAAGATGACTGTCTAAATTTGCCTCTCTGCTTACTTTCAAAACTATACGGGGAAAATAAACTATAGAGCTAGGGCTGGGAATGTAGCTCAGTGGTAGAGTGTTTGCCTAGTATGCACAAGGCCCTGAGTTTGATCCCTAGCACCACAAAACAACAATCTACAAGCCTACAAGGCTAGGTTTTTAATTTCACTCCATAGTTTAAAAAAATAGAAAGTAAAAACAGCCATAAAATATAGCAATTTATATATGCTTGTCAAATTTATGTAATAAAAAACAACTATCATTTCAAAAAGGCTGTGACATGGAAGCAGCTTAAAGAGCAGTTACAAAATTCATCAAGAGACATTGGGAACAGAGAATGAGTACTGAGAAAACAGAAGAAGCAGGGAGGGAAAAGAGAATGAGAGGGAAGAGTATTTCTCTCCCATTGCTAGCCATTTGACTTTGGCCAACTCAACTTGAAAATCTGTGTTAGCAAAGTGAGAATGGTTAGTGTGGGGAATAGAGAGGATACAACAAGCACTACAAACCCCAGGTAGTTTTGACAGCATTGGGAAAGAGGCATCTTTAAACACACTGGACATGTGTATACGTATGTATGCCTCTAGCTCCTAATTCAGATCACTCTAGTGTTTTAAAATATCCTTTCGAGGGAGGTGCCATTGTTTCTTTAATCAGGTACTTTGTCGATGTTTTGAATTCGTTATGGAAAAAAGGGTTTCAGGGGCACATCAGTTACCCCAGAAGAGGGCACCATTACCCAAGAAATGTTTGGAAGCTGCATCTGCTGAAGGAGAAATTCTAACCTTTCAAAAGAAACAGGAGAAGCTAGCTAGAAAAGTCGTGTTTGTCTTTGATACTCCCACTCTTGTTTCCTGCCTTCCCCACCTCCATTAAGCAACATCCTGTCTTCTTTCTTTTTTTGGTACCGGGGATCAAATTTGGGACTGTGCGCTTGCAAGACAGATGCCAGAACCACTGAGCTAAATCCCTGGCCATCCTGTCTTCTTTCTTGCCTGAAAGTCGTCTTCCATACTAGAGACAGGTTTCAAAATGCAGTGGTTCCCAATTGTTCCTTTTTTTTTTTTTTTGGAGACAGGATCTCACTGTATAGCCCAGGCTGGTCTCGAACTCACATGATCCTCCTGCCTCAGGCTCCCAAGTGCTGGGAGTGTGCTACCATACCCCCGGCTCATCAATCATTCACTTCCACAGGCTTAGGCTCTTTCCATTGTTTTTCCTTGGGAACATGACATTTTGAAAGATTTAGTTTGTCTAATTGCATTCAGTCATAACTGATGGTCATTCTTTGAATCTATGAATAATATATACATGTTGTTTAATCTTGTCACACCAGCAGGGGATTGTGTTGCATTACTTAGCTGTGTAAATTCAACAAATGGGGAAGGAAAATAAAAAGCATAGTTTCCATTAAAAAAAAATTACTAGGGGCCAGGGATTTAGCTCAGTGGTGCCGCCTGCCTCACAAGGTCCTGAGCTGGATCCCCAGGGCTAGGAGGAGAAAAAGGCTGTGGGTATAGCTCAGGGTAAAGACCTTGAGTTCGACCTGCAGTACGGATGAAAAAAAAGTCCAGTCTACCACCCTGTTACACTAGTGAAAAACTCGGTAACACAGCATCAAGGAAATTACTAAGCCTCTACATGTAAATAATGGAGAATTCATTATTTTACAAAGCTGCCTACTTGTCTTCAGATAGTTTTGTGTAGTTGGAAGCTCTTCTTACAAATTTGAATCTGTTCTTTCATTTACAGGTGCTGACTTCGTGTGTAAAAGCCTCCATCTCTACTTCCCCTACAAATCCTTTCTACAAATATTATCCCTGTGGACACTTTGAGCAGGGTCCCAAATGTCCTTGTAACCATGGCTAGTCTTGGGATGGCCACGCCCCATTCGAAACTGTCAGGAACAAGTGATCTGGCTGCTGCTGCAAAAGAGCAGAAAACCTCCCTCCCCTCTTCCACATTTGGAGCTCCCCACTGTGCTGGGCTTCACTGATGGATGGTGAGAGCTGGAAAGAGGCACTCCAGTTATTCAATCATCTTTGAGATCTAAGGCTTGGACAATCCTTAGAAAGCTCTTAGAAAATATATCCTACTGACCGTAACTCAGCATCATCTACCTAATCTGCTCAAACCAGTCTAGGTTGCTCTATAAGCTAACCAAATCCAAGAAGAGAACAGCCCTTGGTCTGAAAACAGCCTCCCAGAAAACATTCTGGTGAAGCTAGCCAGGTCTGATGAGCAGAAATGAATCAAAATGTGGATGAGGTACTTAACATCCAGCAGCCATCTTCTACTTTTTCCCTAAGTCTATAGTTCAGAACTTCCAATCACTACAACCATTCACCAACCATTCTGCTTTCCTTCTGTCTACCATCTGACCCCTCCCTGCCTTGCTATGGAGAGAGCCTCAATGTAGGGAGGAACCAAATGCTATTGCCACAGAAACTTTGGACATTGCCAGTCACTTCTATTTGGAGGCATTTGTTCAAGTTCAAGCTGGTTAAGAGAACAGCCTGGCCAGCAATTAGTGGATGAAAGGAATTATTGTTGCAAAATAACCAACACAGGGGCCAGGGATCTAGCTCAGTGGTTTTGCCGCCTGCTGTGCAAGTGCAAGGACCCAAGTTGGAAACCCCGTACCAAAAAAAAAAAAAAAGTAACCAACACATTACATAAGTTCTTTCTGCTAATGATAAAAGACTTTAATTGCAAAGTATCTATGCAATGCTAAAACATACACTCTTTTCTGGATTTTATGTTGAAATCTAGTAAGATTCACTTGACATAACTCAGCATAAATAAATTCACTACAGGATAGTAAATTATTATCCTATGTACTGGTGGAACTAATGAATGTAAATGAATGACATTTAACTGGAAAAAGACCAAAGATTTCATGCTTTTTTAAAAAAAAATACAATCTATACATTTCCAACAAATTCCTTGTAAAATTCCTACTAAAAATTGCTTTAAAATATCAAAAAAAGGAGAAAGCCAGTAATTATAACAAAATATGTAATGAGGTTAATAGCATACATGCTTGGATTTAGAGGACTCTTACATATTCATGTGATTAAGAGATTCTGCAGTACTTTTTTTTTTTTTTTTTTTTTTGGTACCAGGGGATCAAACTCAGGTCCTTTCGCTGTGAGGCAGGTGCAGTGCCACTGAGCTAAATCCGCCCCCCACACACATTTTTTTTAAAAGGCTTTCCAAAAGAAAACTAAACATTTATGACTGGAGTTATTTGTAGTAAGGAATTGGATGTGAGTGTCGGATTGCTCTTTGTGCCTTCAAAGTTCTGCAGAAAATTTTGTCTTCTTTTAAGTCCATCCAAAATGACTGAATTATTAGATGCGAGGCTCTGTGTCCTAAAGAGATTAAAAATACAAAATGATTACCTTCAAAAGGGACCCGGAATTCTAAGTAAGGCATTAAATTTCATTTATTACTTCAAAGCAGTATATTAAATAACACTAAGGTACACTTATCAAGTTAACCTCTAAAAATCTAAAGTGTTCTGTTTTTCTACTTCTTTTTTTTGGGGGGGGTACCGGGGATCAAACTTGGGTCCTTGTACCTGCGAGGCAGGTGGCAGAACCACTGAGCTAAATCCCAGGCCCCATAAAGTGTTCTGTTTTTAAAGGCTTTACAGTAGCACCTCAATTATCTGACAGCTGCTGTTCTCAGATTAAGTATCAGGTATATTTTAGAAACAGTAAATTCCCTGGCAGTTTTCTACTGAAGTGGTCACTATCTCTAACTTATTTTAATTTTTTTGTTTTTGGAGAGTCATATAGAGGGGAAGAACCAACTACTGTATTTTTCATGTAAATAATATTTTTCTAGGAGCTGTAAGCTATGTTCCTTATCTGATATATGTCTTATTTCAGCCAAATCACACTGGTTTTGTTTTTTGTGTTTTTTTGGGGGGGGTTGTTTGTTTGTTTGTTTTGCTTCTTTGCTCATTTTTGGTGCTAGGGATTTGAGCCCAGGACCTTGCTGCTTGCTGAAGAATATACTCTACCAACTGAACCACTTCTCCAGCCCAAGTGTTATTTTTGGTTTCAACATTCACCCTATCCTACCTTGCTTCTCTCCTTCAGTTGCCTGCTACATTGTCTCAAAAATGTGTCACCCCATAAGACTTCCTTCACATAGGCCATCACCCTTAATTCCACATCTTTTTAACAAGACAAATTTGAATTTGCACTTTGTTCTCAAGTTCAATCTGTTTATTGTTTGTTGGTCTCCGCAATAAAACTAAGTGGTAAGCTTCTTGTAGAAGCAACGTCTTGTTCATCTCTGTTCCCTAACCCCTGTAACAAGGCATGGAGTGGTGTTCAAATGTTATCTTCTCTCCCCTTCTAAACTTCTTTAAGCCTGTCTAGAAAATGACACCATAAGAAATTTTTTAAAAACTAAATTTCTCAAGATTTTACAAATTAGAATTCTCAACTGCACTTCTAGGAGTAATTTCCCTAATCTGTTTGGTTTAATTGATTTTGCCGTAGATAAAGAGAAATCGTGGCTTGTTGGTTTACACCATTACCTGTGTACTTTGGAAACATTTTGATTCCCTTAATGACTTAGTGTGAATCAATGTATTGTTTCAAGCAGGGGCCGGGGATTTAGCTCAGTGGTTCCGCCGCCTGCCTCAAAAGTGCAAGGTCCCGAGTTCGATCTCTGGTGCCAAAAAAAAGTAAAGTATTGTTTCAAGCAGAAAAGACCTTGTTCCCTCAATAAAGAAGTAACAATGGAGGCTAAAAATGCAGTAGCTCAATGATACAGCACTTGTTTACCATATGCCAGGCCTGGCCTCAAGCCCTAGCATCTCAACTAAAACAAACAAAAAAGAATTTAGATCAACAGGTAGTAATCTCAGGATGTCCATGATATGTTACATGAAGGAAAGAAAGCCACAAATCCAGGCACACTCCCATAATCCCAGCTACTTGAGAAGCTAAAACAGGATTGGGTGTTGAGGTCAAGACTATGTGCTTGGGAGAAAGAGAAATTCATGGCTGTGTACGATTTGTTATTAGAAATACTTATATTTAGGACTGGGGATGTAATTCAGTGGTAGAATGCTCACCTAGCATGTACAAGGCCTTGGGGTTGATCCCCAGTACAGAAAACAAAGCAAAAAAAGCAATATGGAAAATAGAATCTAGCCTGGTGTGGTGGCACACACCTGTTATCCCAGCACTCAGAGAGCTGAGGCAGGAGAACCCACTGGGTGTTTGAGGCCAACCTGGGCTACATACCGAGTTCAAGGCCACCCTGAACTAAACAGCGAGATCCTGTCCCCCCTCAAAAAAAAAAAAGAAAAATAGAATCTATGAGCTCAATAGACAAAAAGTATACATCTATATATTTAGACTTAAATGTTGCAAATATATCAAATATGAATGAATTTTTAAAAATAGTACAACAATTACAGGTGTTTAAAATACTTTTTGAAAGCCAGTGGTAGTAGCTGGCTGTAATCCTAGAATTTGGGAGGCTGAAGCAGGAGGATTACTGCCAGTTTAAGGCTGAGCTGGGCTACACAGTGAGTTCCAGGGCAGCCTAGAATACATAGAAAGATCCAGGCTCAAAAAACCAGAAAAAGAAAATAGTTTTCTTCCCCACAGGAACACCAAAGTGAGTCTTTATTTTAACAGGGCCTATACTGCAGCATAGGGGGATCAGTAAGTAGTACACAGGAGGAAGCCCTCCTAGACTAAAATCCAAAAAGTGCCTGGGAAATGCTGCTTATGTGGCAGCCTGCAGGCCTGTTTCAATGTGGGCTGAAACCAGGAAATCTTCTGGAAGGCTTGCTGTGAATGTTGGGTGTGTGAATAGGGCCCAGGTCCCTCCTTTCCTGATCTCACTCCAGGGTGCCCCCTCTTAATTCAAAAATGCAACAGTGTGGTCTGAAGTGGTGGGAGTAGGGGAGGTGCCACCTGTCCGGCTGCTCTCCTGTTAGAGAGTGGAAGTTTGATAGTCAGAGAGGACACTGAAGCAAACTGTCCAGTCTTTTGGGGGTGAGGGGAAGCAAGGGGCAGAGGCAGACAGCTGCTGACTAACCTGCACCCCTCCAACCAGCAGGGGAGAATAAGAGTCAAGAGCCACTTCCATGTGTCTCACCCACTCACCCCATTTTGTCCTCCTTAATTAAGGGGACGTGAAGGGCAAAGAGCTGCTCCGGGGCAGCTGACCTTGCCTTCAGGAGGAATAAAAATCTGCCAACTGCTCCAGTGATAAGTGGTGTCTTGTCTCTTCCTCTTAAAGTACTTTTTGGTAGTTTTGATTTTAATCTTGGGTATTAAGCCCGGCACTTTGCACATACTATGTATGTGCTATACCACTGAGCTATATACCAGCCCCTAGTGCTTCTTTTTTTTTTTTTGGTACTGGGGATCGAACTCAGGTCCTTGAGCTTGCGCAGCAGGCGGCGAAACCACTGAGCTAAATCCCTGCCCCCCCAGTGCTTCTTAAAAGCTCTATTATGATCATATTACTTTTATAACCTGAACAACATTATTTAAACAAATTGGAGTGGAAGATATCGGTGGGAAGTCACATCCCTTAATCTGTATAGATCCAGGAATGTAAGTGAAAAGCTTCTAAACCTAAATTCATAAGTACTTGGTTTATAGCAGTTCCTTTCTAGATTTAGAAATAAATTAAGCTTTATTAGTATTGAACCAGTAAAATTTGGTTTGCATGAAAAATGAACTCTAAGGAAACAGGAAGGGAGGTAATGGATGAGATGATCAAATTATGTCATGTGCTAGGGTCGGGGATTTAGCTCAGTGGTTCCGCCGCCTGCCTTGCAAGTGCAAGGGCCCGAGTTCGATCCCTGGTGCCAAAAAACCAAAACAAAACAAAATTATGTCATGTGCTTGTAGAAAATGCCATAATGAAACCCTTCTGAATTAACAAGCACGAATGAAAAAATGAATTCTATTCTCTTATATAAGATCTCATTGTAACTTTATATAATGCATTCATTAAAGGTTGGCAGAATTGTATCAGTATAATTATTTGTTCAGGAGTCTCTCGCTAGGGACTCAGTAACCCCTTGATTTTATTTTATTTTATTTATTTATTTTTTAAGCCCTTGATTTTAATAACTCCTGTGGGACAGTGGCTAAGCAAACATTTTCACGTGCACTTACCACGGAGAATCTATTCCACTATCGCCTGCCATGCTATGACTTTCTGTTCCTTCCAAGCAGCGGTGTTCCTGCTGAATATCCTGTGCCACCACTGTCATACGTGAAGCATTGAAAAGTTCTAACTTTTGTGTGAAGTGTTTTCTCATTTCCTGATTCTGAGGACTTTGATTCCAGCTACTTGGTTTCTTTCCTGGGTCACCAACAGAATGGTGAGGGACTTCAGCCTCAGAATTGGGTTTCCTTGTGCTACAGTAATCAAATAAACTTTGATCAGCAGGTGCCGAGGCCTGTACACATGTAGCAACACTGGGTTCTTCACAGTTAAAGCCAAACTGGGTCTCTGAATTTAGCCCACAGCTTTCAGCAGAGAGATTAGGGTTTTGGCTTTCACCTGGGTTTGTAAGCAACACAGTGGGCTCAAACTGTTCATTTCTTTTAAGCCCCAGAGGCACAAACCAGTCCATTTTGGTATTACATTCAATCTTAAATCCCTCAGTCACTTTTGGTTTTCCTAAATGGTTACAGTTGCTTCTACCTGCAAAGGAATATGGGATGTGGACAGGCTGCCTTTGACATAAGTCATCATTCTCCGAAAAATCCTCCTCTAAATATAATGAACTGCAGGCCCCATCATCATCCTCCACCTCATGATACAAGGCTTGGTCATCATCAGAAAGTCCTCCATTTTCTAGACTTGCAGTCTCTGCCTCCTGGAAAAATGTCTTTCTCATTAATTCCTCTGAATTTCTGTCTTGCCTCTTCTCAGGCTGTCTCAAATGATTCACACCAACTGGGCGATCTAACAGACCAAGGTTTTGAAACTGGTGTATTGTTTTATCGACTAATCTACAAGCAGAGGATTGGTCTACAGAGGAGGAACCGTACAATGGCAGCATATGCTGTGTTTCTTTGGCCTCCCCTAGTTTGTCAGAGTGAGAGGGGCTTTTCTTTGTGACTTCAGGGATTACCTTATTTTCTGCACCGTACACCTCACATCTCAACGTGCTTTCCCTGAAGGAATAGCATGGGCTGTCACATTGCAAATCACTACTTTGAGGGTAACTTAAGAGGCCATCTCTAAAGTCATCACTGACAGGCTGGACAGAAGAGTTGGTCATATAAATGGGTTCTGCTTTTAGCTTATCATGACATTGCTCAGCGTATGGCTGTTGAACTTCACTATCAAAAAGTCTTGGGGGCTCTGAAGACCTTAGTCTTTGGAAAGGCTTTTCCTTTGGTGCAATATGACTGGGTGTCAGATGACTTCTCTTCTGAATGTTGTCCCCTTTGGTTACTGGGCTCCCTCGGAAAGACAAGCCCTGGAAGGGATTACGGATTCGCTTTTTGTAAATCAATTGAGAGCCTAGCACTCTTGGATTCTCCTGAATCCCTGTCTGAGTTTCTGCTTCATTGGTGCTTTTAACCTGAGGCTCAGGCTGGGTAACCAAGAGCTTGGGGGTCTTCTCCAGCATAAGGCTTCCTCGCTGAAGCTCATTCCCCTGACTCTGGGTTTTGGGTCTTTCTCTGTGAGAGAAGCCCCAGCTACAATGCTTGGCCGACCTACCCTGCCTTTTCTTAACTCTCTCTTTAGAAGGATTGTTAGGCCTGACTGTCAGCATATCAGTGGAAGTGCCCTGACTATTGTATTTCCTCTGTTCTTCATATTTTTGCATGAGGACAGTATGTTTGATTAAGTTGTCAACAGTCAGAACAGGGTTAATTCTTTTGATGATCTCATGTTCAACATCTCGGGGGATATTGTCCAAGTTATCTTCATCTCGGACAGGCCATTCCTCAGGTGGAAACTGGGCGGAGAAACTGCCATGCTCTGTTCTGGGCTTCTCCTTTCTAGAAATGCTGCGCCACAAGAGACTAAAACCAAACTTTTTGCCTTTTTCTTTGTCTTTTGTGTCTGGTGAAGTTTTGGGGCTCTCACTAATGTGATTCTCCTCAGATGTTGAAACTGCCTGATTCTGAACCAAAGGTGTGGATTCCCCGAGCCCTTTTTGGCCTTTTCTAGTCATTTCTGAAGCAGGTGGTGACTCCTCTGCATCCTGCAGGCACATGTCAGGGAAACAGCGGCAGGACTGACAATGGGAAACGGGCACTGCATTCTCCCTGGCCAACTCTGCACAGCTCCTCATGCTCACCAGATAGGCCACAAAAGCAGGCCCTGAGGGGCTCCCATCTGACGGACGGGCTCTCTTCTTTTGCTGGGCAGTTGTATTTGTGATGAAGTAAGTCTGAGGTGTAACTATGAAGTATCCTTCTCCAGTGTGATAAATCTTCCTTTCTTTAATCAGAGTTCCCAGAGCGGTGTAGAGAGTATCTTGAGGCGGCAGTGCAATGCCTAAAACAAACAAGCATTTTACTCTGATAGATTCTGAATAAGAAACATTCTAAGAGGTGAAATCAGTAACTCAGAAATTGGCGGGCATGGTAGCATGTGCCTGTAATCCCAGCACTTGGGAAGGTGGGCAGGAGGATCACTGTGAGTTCAAGGCCAGCCTGTGCTACATAGCAAGATCCTGTCTCAAAAAAAAAATACAGAGGGGTGGCTGGGGATTTAGCTCAGTGGTTCCGCTGCCTGCCTCATAAGCACAAGGTCCCGAGTTCCATCCCCAACACTGGAAAAAAAAAAAAGCCTTAGGAGTC